GCCTCACACAGAGCCGCCATAGGGGGCGGCTGCTCTACGTGGCTCCTGCTGAACCGCTCAGGGGAGGATCCATAAGAATTTTCCATCTGGATTGGAACCACGATCCAGCTAGTTTAGTGGTGGACACTGACTGCTGCCTCAGGGAAAGGTGCACAAAGAAACTTCAGAGTAGGTTGCTGAAGGGTGATCTGTCCCTGTGGGAGATCTCAGCTAAACTGTTAGCAGTTATGGATTGGCTTATGTCCTGGGGTAGACGATTTTGTTTCCCTTCCAAAATCACTGAGCACTAACTATGGGAGTTCTGGGTACCATGGTCTCTGCATCCAAACCATTTCTGCAGGAGAGGAGACTCAATTTTTAAACACATTGTTCCCTTCTTACAGCGAATCACTGGCACAGGTAACCCCAGGGACAGGGCTGCACTGCCCTTTTATCTCCTGCAATGCTTATTAAATGTAGCACTACATCAATATGACCGAGCACGTAGAGCATAAATGCTGAGAGGAGCAGCTCAGCAACAGAGAGTGAAACCAGACTGCACATGCACCCAAAGACATGGGCCCAGATCACGCAGTGCCACCCAAGGCCAAGGTCTGCGCAGGCAGGAGTTGGATGTCAATAATGCAAAAAGAAAAAGCATGTGAACATAAAGCGCGCTGGCTGTGAGGGAGTCCAGCTCTTGCTCTCCCCATCTCCTCTGTCTCTTTAATGCCACCCAGTCAATTGGGCCTGGTAAGAGATTTTTCTGCAGTCCGTGCAGTACAACACAGGTTTTGCTGAGTTGAGTAAAATCCCTCCCATGTCACTCTCTCTTCCTGTCCCATGATCTTAGCCATAACTAAGGCAGAGATGGAGTCATGCAACTCAAGCTTTTCTTTCTTCCCTTCCAAATGCTACATGGTTCCATTTGTGCCTGTTAGCATTCAGGTTATAATAGCACTGAGACAACCCAGGTGAGCACGTGGTTATTTTGGTAAAGTGCTGTCCAAACACACGAGAGACCCCGGGAAGCTTAAGTTGTATCAGAGAAGAATGTGAGGGGAAACAGAGAGGCAAATACAAGCAAAGGGATCTGGCCATGGTCACCCAGCAGGTCAGTGGCAGAGCTGGGAAGTCAGATTTCTCCACTCCCCTATGGATTTAGGAACCTAACTGTATATGTGCAAATTTGTCCAGTGTGGAGTAGAACTTTCAATTAAACAAGAGTATAGTCCTCATTGCGCCTTTGCTGGGTTGGGGGGGGAGTGTGTAATTAATTAAAGTGAAAAGTACATTAATGATTGAAGGCTGTTCCTTTTGGTGAGTTTCTGTGGAGATTATTGAGAGAGGGGAATGGGCCTATAAGACCTAGCTGAAGACACCAGGCTTGTTATTAACATGCTAGCTATAAGTAACCCACTGAAATGCACAATTGAGGAGGAACCTCCTTCCCCCAAGCTTGCAGTAAGGGAATTAAATTCATAACCTACATTAGTATGATGCAGCATTTGCACAGACAACATTTTATCTGTAAGTTTCCAACAGCAACACAAAGGCCATGGTGCTGTGTGCAAGCAGGGGCTGTTACCTGGTCCAGCAGCTCAGTACCTCCTGTTTTATGTTGCTGAAACCACCAGGATCTATGCAACACGGCTGAGTTACTGTTGCTGTTGAAACCTTAAATTTGTGTTTCCTGCCTTCTGATTCTTTCAAGGTGTGCAAAACTGAAGTTGCATTACTTCCACTTTACATGGAAATGACACCTAGAAGAAAAGTGCTTAATTCATGCCTGCTGCTATAGAAGGGGAATAAAAAAAACTGTTGTGTAAACTCTCCACCAGTGGGGGCATTCCCTTTTCCAGGGCCCACCCCCTTTTTGTTGGGCAGGAGGAGAGGGTACCTTTACATGGAGATGAGAACCATAGAAGTTCTGCCGCCTGACACTGCCCGGGGAGGTATCGACCCAGCACTCATCTTCCGTGTGCCTTGGCCTGTATGGGCCTGGCCCACTCTCTAGGCTCTGTTTATCTGTCAGTTCTGGAGGTCTAGAACTGAAGGCAGGACTGTGGAGAGGTAAGTGTCTCTTGCCCCTTACCTGAGACTGGATTTGTGTGTGTGTGTGTGTGTGTGTGTGTGTGTGTGTTGAAAACAGTGGCCTTCCTCACACAGCAGCTGCAGTAAGTGCACACTGACAAAGAGAGAGAGCCCTGTTTGCAGGTGGGACGTGAAAGATAACATAGAGCTGCTTTCATTAGTCCCCAGTGTGAATCCCACAATCAGGAAAATTGCTGCTATTACTAAAAACTGTGGCAGAGAAGTCCATTTATTTTTCATTTTTCTTGGGCACTTGCAACCCGGCAGCATGAATCACTGTCCGTATGTAGATTAAATTTACGCCACACATTAGCTTTCATGTCTCTAGTGCACGTATGTCAGCTAGGGCTCCTGGCCAGTAAAATTCAATAGCAGAGTGGCTGTTGCATGCTGCAGCTAGGATAGCATCAGCTCTCATGAGAGAACATCCCTTTGCTAAAGAATATCTCCCTGGACATGTATAATGTGGGATGTCTGTGAGTGCCTTGAGCTGTGGATCTCAGCACTCTCTGGTAATGCCTACTGCTGGAGATCAGAAGGACTAGAAGGTGTAAGACAGTATTTCCTTCCATCAGGCTGATTTGTTCATCCATATGGGAAAGGTTTGGGTTTGTCCATTGGTTATTTATTTAAAAACAGTATGGGCAGCTGTGCTTCTGTATGCAGATAAAAGGTATTATGGTCTCGTGGACGTGGTGCTGGGCTGCGAGGCAGGAGACCAGGGTCTAAGTTTACATCTGCTACTTACTTGCTGTGGGACCTGTGGCAAGTTGTGTCACCTCCTGTTTTTCATTGTCATGTCTGTTAGAGTGTTCATTCCTTGAGGCAGGTCTGTCTGACTAAGTGTATGTCAATGCCTTGCACAATAAGTCTCTGGTCTCACTTGGGTTGTGTGTAATAGAGATAGGCCAGTTCACAAATTGATAATCAGTCCTGCCATTAATTACTCCTGAGAAATGCCTGATTTTGGATTTCCCCTAAAGATGTGTTGCTACAACTGCAGAACTGGCCAAGAGCAGGGATGGATCCAGAGGGGGTGCAGTGGTGGGATCACTCCCCCTTTTGAGTCTCTAAGTCTCTGAAACAGGTAAGATCTCCTCTTCCCTCTGTGCTCAGCAGCACATCCTTCCCCTCCTCTGCCCACTGCTGCCACCATCCCTAGTGACCCAGGGCAGGGAGATCTCTAGATCTGCTCCTGACCTGCTCCAGCTAGGTTGCACAGGGATCTAGGCTCAGCCAGGAACAGTGGCAGCGATGGTGGTGAGCGGGTTCCTCCTCCCTGCCCGGTCCCCCCTGGTGTTCCCTGGCAGCCTAGGAGCAGACATGTGGAGGGGGGATGCACCCACTGTTGGCATTACCGATGCTGTCCCTAGCTGATCAAGCTCCCTGTTCACCTGACTGGAGCAGAGCAGGAGCATCTCTGGACCCCCACCCCCACAAGGTAGCCATGGACTGTGGGGACAGTGGCAGTGGTAGGTGGGGAAGGAACAAGATGGGAGGGTGGCAAAATATTTACCTGCTTTGGGGACTTGAAAAAAGTCCCTGGCTGCAGCTCCCATAGTGCAGTCTGCCCAGCAGGGGGGTGTGCAGGGAAGCTAGGAGCACAGGTGCAACCACCTCTGTAGTTAGTGCTGGTTGCTGTTCCTGCACCCCCCTTTACAAAATCCTAGATCCACCCATGGCCAAGAGGGTGTTGTTTTGAGTTTATTTTAGAGCTTGCCTCTGAGATCATGATTCCAGTCTCACTAATTCTCGTGTAAACAGGGAGCAGATCCCATGACGTCAGATGCACTAGCATCAGAATGGCATAACAGTGATCTGAGGAATGTAATCATCTTGAAATTAAGTGATTGAACATGTGAATAACAAGCTGCCTTGAACAATGTTCTGTCCCAGGTAATACAAAAGACATATCCCAAGTAATCCATATCTGCATGGTACTGAATTTGAAGCGCTCTGGGATTCAGAGCACTTCAAATGCATGTCTGCCCAGACCTTTAGAGCCACATACTTTATAGGAACACACACATACATGCACACATACATGCACACATTAAAACAGATTCACTCTCAGGCAGGCAAACGCAGACAAATACACTGTACAAAGGACATGCGCGCACACAAATGCATTTTATACCTGGGCTTACAGATACACACAAGTACTTGCTCTCAAACACACAGAGATGTAAGCTGTCATTTGTGTATACCCCACTGTACACTTACAGAGCTCTGTTTAGCATGCCCACTCCCTTAGCTGCCCTGTGCTGTGCACTGAGGCAAGGATGCTTATCTGCGTGCTCATTCAGTCCCACCTGCAAGGAGCTCACTCATTATGATACATCCCAGCCTCAAGATTTGCACATTACATAGCGGTGTGCTGTCAGTACCACAGCTACTCAGAAGCACACACTGGGAGGTGTATGCTCGTAGTTGGGTATACTCAGTATCTCAGATACACTTGCCCACCCTTAGACACCCGTCGGTGCAGCAGATGCATACTGCCAGCTATCATTACTGTGTAAGAGCCCTATCATTTTGAATTAATCTGGGATTCATCATGCTAGCAGTGAGCGTAATTAATTTATTTGGTATTAATGTGGATGAAATATGTACTGTCCTTGCAGGGGAAATCGCACTGCCTCTAAGCATTAGTTAAAAGGACCATTAAAATCAAACCTTTCTGAGAGCCATTAAGCCAGTCTTTCATGCTGAAGAAGATAAAGCCCTGCTGTGTGAAATGTCATGCATAATTAGGTTGATTGCTGTTTTAAACTCTGCCCCTTCTTCCCTGCTCCCCCACCCTCATCCCCAGTCCTTGCCTCCTGGCAGCACACACTTACCTGCTCAAGAGATTCCCATCGGCTCTAGCAGTTTATTTCTCACCATTGCTCCATCCATGTCAGAGCTGCTGCTTGTCCTCTTTGCAGGCGTTTTGGTACCAAATGCACGGCCTGTCAGCAGGGAATTCCTCCAACCCAGGTGGTACGGAAAGCCCAGGACTTTGTCTATCACCTGCATTGCTTTGCCTGTATCATCTGCAACCGCCAGCTGGCCACAGGTGATGAATTCTACCTCATGGAAGATGGGCGCCTGGTTTGCAAAGAGGACTACGAGACAGCCAAACAGAATGGTAGGTGTTGAGCCATTAGCTAGCTACACCAAAAAAGGCAGGGGCGTGGGGTCCATACCTGGAAGATGCCATCTGTAAAACTGAGTTTCAGATTATAACCCATCATAAGGAATGTCTGGGTAATAAGGATGTTGATGGTTGCTTAGAGTATTCAAGCTTTTAGTGGGCCTGCCCAGGATTTGCTGTGAAAATTCTGGGAAATGTGGATCTAAATTCTGGACTAGATAATGCTTACAGGGTGGTTGGATCTTGGTTATGCTTGGCCTCTCATCCAGGTCTAAGTGTGTTTATCCCCCTGCTCTGCTGTGTCCCTTAGTACGTGCATAACATCAAGTACACAAATAGTCTCACTGGCACGACTAGGATTGCTCACATGTATAAAGTTGAGCCTGTCCTTAAGGGCTGTGCTGTCTTGGGGTTAGGCTGTATATTTCCCTTTTTCCTTTCCTTTTTTTGTGTTTGTCGTCCTGCATTTTTTGTTCCTGAGATCACCAGCAAGAGACCAGGATCTCCTGGCAGGTTTTCAGCTGTCTGTTGCCCACCTGACATTGCACTCCACTGTGAGAGTGAACATCCTGTTGAAAGGATTAATCCAGCAACCTCATGTGGGAAATAAACATCTGAAGCAGGCGGACCCTTAGGAAAAAAGATGCTGTTTCACAAAGAAATGCACCTATGACCAGGTTTTTAAAGAGGTTTAAACACCAACAGGTTCAAGTAATTGTGAGCTAGGCACCTAAATGCTTCTGAAAATCCTGTTAGACACCTATCTTCACCTTTAAAAATATCTTTAAAAACTCAATCCCTAGTACAGTAGAGTCAATTATCCAGACTAAATGGGACCAAAGCCTATTTATAAAATCAATATTTGGTTAATGCATTAAATGAGCATTTACGTACATAATATATGCAAACTTTCTTCAGTTTGTTGATTATTTCCCAGTCTTCCTCAGTCATCAAAATGGTTCTCTTTTTTCTTTTAGTCTCCTTTGCTCTCACTTCTACCACACACTGTGCAGATCAGTGGCATGTCCTGGGTTTGGCAAACTGAGTGGTTTGGATAATTGGTGTTTGGATGATTAACACTGAATTAAAATTTAAGAATACTGGGGAATAGAAATATTGGGGGGGGGGGAACCATGAAACAGGATTTTCTAGCACAGGAGATTAGGAAAAGGTGATGCCAGGAAAGCCAGGTATTCCTGAGAGGCGTTAGAGTGGAGATCCACATCACAAATGTAGTTGTCATCATGACCTCTTGCTAGTAGCCTCAGCAGAGAGGCCAAGGAAGGACTAGCCCCCTCCTGCCCGTACCCGCCACCTAGGGTAGGATGAGGCAGATTAGTAGTCCAGTATGAGGGAAGCTTTTCTTGCCACTCCTTTTGCTGTACCTGTTCTGCAGAGATGTGAATCACAAAGCTTGTCCATCCAGCTCTCTTTCACAGCCATTAAGGAAAGAAAAGATAAAGTATCTAATTGGCATAAGCTTGTATAGGATGCAAGAAAAGCTGTGGAAATTTTTATAGCAGTTTCTTTATCATGTATTGTTATTAGTTCAGCTGCACTGGAAATTAGAAGGTTTCTAACCAGCAGAGCAAGGAGGCTCTGCAACAGTCTTCTGAAAGCAGTAGGGACAAGTACCCAAACGTGTGTTAGGATGGCGCTTGGTATGTCACACAGCCCTGTTCATGATATGGTACCTGCGATAAAAGCACACTGGTTTCGATAAGCTGGAAGGTGTCTTCCAGTCCTTTGTCCCTAGGCTCCTATTATTTCTATATTATCATCTTGTTTCTATTTTAATTTGAGATTGGGCCACACAGAAATCTGGGTCCAAATTTTGCATGCTATGGAAAGGTTGGAATCCAGATGTGATCAGCACTTCAGCTCAGATTCATTGGATGCTACATTGCTGTAATGGTGTGCTATGGCAACTTAGCATCCACCAGTGTCTACATGTGACCAGCAGCTACTTCGCCGCAGCAGTGTCCTCTCCCATTATAGCACACTACTACAGTGAAGTAGCTGCTAAAAATAACTGTGCTACATGTGTGGTGCAGTATGCATGGTTACCACGCTGTGCTTTCATACTTCCAAAAGGAAGTACAAAAGCACAGAGCAGTAATAACGTCACCATAGGGCAAGGTGTAGACGTGCCTACTATTTAGTAGTAGTAGTAGGAAGTGGACTGATTTTCAGTCTCCCATTAGAAACAATATGTGTTTCTCTGTTATGGGATGGTTGAGATGAGACTATTCCATCAGTTCATCTGGGTCTGCCCTTCCATAGGAATGCTAGCTCAGAAAGGCCATGACAGAATAAAGTGAAGGGGCTTCACCCTGCTCCCATTGGAGGCAATAGGAATTTTGCCATTGACTTCACTGAGAGCAGGACAGAGCTCTTCCTGCTCTTCTGCTACTACAATAAGGTTATTTTGACCTGGATCAATCTACACAGAAATAGAATGAACTTGGAGAATGAATATAAATTCATAGAAAGTGGCTGTAACTGTACAAGACACTGACTACACAGTTGTTACTGCGCAGTCATTTAGTATCTGCGTTAGTGTACAGTAGCTTCCCCGCATGGCTTCCAGGAAACATTTACTGTGCTGTAACTCATTACTACTGTGCAGTAGTTTGTTACTACTGCGCAGTAGTGTCGCATCATGGTTCATGGCCTGCGACGCTTCTGCACAGTACTAACAAGCTACTGCGCAGTAAGCACCTTGTTTAGACGTGGCCAGGGACTACTCCAGTGCTGGAATATCAGAGTGTGTTAGTGACAGAGGATTCACTGGACTCATAAAACTAAGTGCCCCCTCTCCAGAGGATATTGGTTCTTCCAGGTCAGATCCACATGTATCTTGTATTTTTCCAAACTAACATGTTTGAGCCTAATCATTAATTTGAGGGAACATGTTCAAGGAGAAGCTACTTCTTGTACAAAGTGGAGCTGGTGTGATTTCCTTCAGTCCAGGGGTGGCAAAGATTCAGCCTGTGGAACCCTGTCATCTGGCCCATAGTGCTGCCCAGGTCTCGGACGGGATCCACACACTGCATGTGGTGTGCCCCACACCCGGCCACATGCCACATGTAGGGCACAGGCCTGGGCCCCCACACTGCATGCAGTACATGGAGCTGGTCCAGGGCATGTGGTATACATGGCCTCCACGATCAGACCCGACCCATATGCTGGACTCGGCATGTGGGGCTGGTCTGACCCATGGGACCCCTGCTCTTAGTCGTAATAGAGCCAACCCTTAACAGGGTGGTAAGAGGTGCTGGGATGCTGTCCATGAAGTCTACTGCATGAGATGTATCATGAGTCTTGACTAGTTGTGGTCAGTACAGGCCCCATAACATTTTCTCCTCCTTGCCTGATGTGGGTGTAGTTTTCTGACTCATTTCCTATGCCTAGACAGTTCTCTATTATGCAGTGTTAAAGAGCTGCTACATTTCACTCTCAGCAACTGCTGAACTGCACTGCTCAGAGAAGTTATTTTTTCATGTAGGTAAAGGCCAATTCCTGGCCATTAGTTATCTTCATGCAAATATGCTCATGTCAGCAAGTTTCCCTGGGAGTAACCTGGGGAGAATTTGTCAATTATTGTTGAAGTTTGTAAAATAAAATAATAGTTAGTTCACTGAGATCCCAATTCCCTGTCCTCTGCTCCCCTCCTGTCTTGTGGCAAGTGATCTGTCTAGAACAGAACTGAGGTATGCTGTCAGTAGACCAGTCCACACAAGATTCAGTTTTAGCATTAACAGGACTGTGATAAAAAAACAACATAAATTAAATTCTGCCCTGGTGTAGGCAGGCTCAGCTCTACTAAAGGGGATACGTTGCACCTTACATTGGTGCTTCACGTGGCCCTCAGTCCACAAAGTGTGTGTAGAGGAGCCAAATGGGGACCTAAAGAGCCAAGACAGAGTAAGATGAAAAACAAGGATGGAGGGAGGGAGAGGAAGAGACTATAGATCACAAAACAGTAATGAATCCACAGAGACTTCCCAACTGCGCCTGACTGAAATTAAAACCCGAACAGGTCTTTAATGGATTTCATGTTGACAAGCCCTGACTTCTCATTAATTAAGGACTCTATTTTGACCTAATCAATTTGGTTAGGGTGATGCAATGCCTATTTGTGCTGCGGGGAGTGGGGGGGCATGGATTTAATATTACTCAAATTCCATTATTGACTCCCAGAGCTATTGATGGCCTTAGTGTCATGGCATCTGACAGGCCAGGGAGCCAGTCGGAAAGAGATGAGCACAAATTTTCCTCTCTGGGACAAAGGTGCATCAGAACTGATTTCAGTGGCAATTTGCTTGTGCAACTGAAAGGACGGCTTAGCCAGATGTGGAAGTGATTCTGTTGAGAAAGTGATTCTGGAAAACAATTCATGCCACAGCGCAGTTTCTAACAAGTTCTGCCAAGACAAAGCCACTGATTTCACCAGAGTTGAGTCTTACAATTCCCACCCCCCCAGCTCTTTAGGTAGAAGGCTTGTTAGTTAAGGTACCCAAATGCTAGTCCCTGCCAGCTGTGCAGGTCCGCAGGCCACTTATAAATGTTTTTACAGGCAAAACCGAACACAGCTTCTCCCAGCTTGCAAACTGACTTCTGGAGGCTTCAAGGGTGCTCTCTTTGAAGAATGTGTAGCTGAGCTTTAAGATTGAAGACTTTAAAATGGGGGGAGGGAGTGTTTCAGGGCGCTGAACAGGGACTGAACTCCCTGCTTGTCACAGGCAAGTCCCTTTATGATCTCGGGCACTTCATGTAGACTGAGTTTTTGTTTTTTCTTTTCAAATCAGTGGAAATTAAACACATGAATACATTTAAATATTTGGCATTTAATGCATTTAATGTCTGTATTTAAGTTCCTTTTTGTGAAATGGCTGCTACAGCACTGACCACCAGCCTTGCCCTCCTCTCCCCCCCAGAAGGTACAATGACAAGAAATTAATTGCTAACTGTAAGGAGCTCAGGTAGTCTAGTAATGTTGACCCCTTAACTATTTTGAGGAGGCAGCACTGTCCCACCACAGCAGTTTCTCCCAAGGTCTACCAATACAGAGCCACTGATTACACCAGGGCTGAGTCTTGCAAACACTCTTCTTTCCTTGCTCCTCAGAGCCAATGTATCATACTTTAGATTTTGACAGAGCTTATGTGCTGCTCGTTGGCAGGTCTGCATTTCATGCTGTCTGTTCCAAACTGGTAAGAAATTGTTCTATTGCAGATGATTCAGAAGCTGGAGCTAAGCGGCCACGAACCACCATCACAGCCAAACAGTTGGAAACGTTAAAAAATGCCTATAAGAACTCCCCCAAACCTGCCAGGCACGTACGGGAGCAGTTGTCCTCAGAAACAGGTCTGGACATGAGGGTGGTGCAGGTGAGAGAACTGCAGGCTGAACGATTGCTTTCATTTCCTCCTCTTCCCACCAAGTGGAATAGTGCCATGCAACGTAAGCAATCCCGGAGCTGTTGCGCATGCTGCCCATGAGTCATCTGTCTTGCATAGGCCCGTTCCACCCCAAAACATAGGTCAATGGGTAACCAGGGTTCTTACCCAAACATGAGTAAGTATGGGCTAACCCCCGTAGCATCACTTTGGGTGGAGTTGTAAGCATGTACCAGATACGCTATGTGCTGGCTCCAGGCGGCCTTCTGCTCATGCTGAAGTGTGCCCAGCATGTTCAAGCATGTTCAGTTGAAACACTCTGGTTGTGGGTCCCCTTGGGGGTGGTAGGGCATAGTCCGAGATTTCTTAATCCCCACCACAGTTAGTACTTCCCGCAGTAGCCGGCTTTCGAAATCTTACCCTTGATTGGAGTGGATTCTGGCCAGCAGACTGAACACAGAGAAATATTTCTCCCACAGTACCTTGGCAACCATTTGCACTGTCTGGTCTTGCATAGGAAACGCTTGGGGATACCGGGTGAAGCGATCTGTCACCACCAGCACTTTCCCCTTCCGGTGCCCCTCTCTTTCTATGGATAGGAAGTCCATTCACACGAGTTCCAGGGGCTTGGAGCTCTGAATGGTGTGTAGGTAGGCGGTTCGAGTGGGCAAAGTTAGTCATCGCACACATCAGTCACAAGTCAAGCACTTGGCCTTTACATCTTCAGCCATCTTGGGCCAAAAGAACTGCTTACGTGCCAAGGCCAAGGTGTGTTCCACCCCATGTGCCCAAAGTCATCGTGTAGTGCCTGTAATGTAAGGGCCCTATACTTATGATATCACTGCTTCCTCTTGTACCACACAAGCCCTGCACTGCATCTAGGAGCAGTGAGTGCAGTGTTTCCATGTCAAAGAAACCAGGGCAGGAAAATCTGAGAGGCATTAAGACCCTCATTCTCTTCCTAATGGGAATGACTGGGCAGCTGAGTCTCTGCAGAGCCTCACTGACATCCATGAGGCTGCCTTGGGTGTTGCCATCCACCCACATGGATCACAGCGCAGGATCCAGACCTGAGGAGTGCATTAGATGTGAGTTTGCAATGGCCGAAAGAGATTTAGGCTGCATGTTTGGGGTGTTAATGCCAAGCCAGTGTACCCTGGAACTTGAGATAACTGGCCTGACCTCTCTGCGGGGGCAAACCAAAGCTGGCTGCATTTGGTTAAGTTCTGTCCACTGACTTCAGTGGACTTCAGTCAGGTGTGTCTAACTGCAGTGGAGGCCTGCCTTGGAAATGTTGTTTCTTGGCTGATTAGAGGTTTCGCAGGGGGCAGGTGCTTGCTGGAGATGTCTTCTGTGAAAATCAAAGAGGTTTCCTTTGAGCTTACTGCCCCAGAGATGGCCCCAGTCCTGGAAACTGGGTATGAGTTTTAGGGAACTTTGGATGCAGCCTTTGTGGCTTGGACCTGTGCTATAGCTACCTCCAAACTGCAACCCTTGGAGTTGGAGGAGGTTCAGGATCTGGATTATTTTGAACTCTGGAAGGGTCCAAGCCAGCCCTGACTATCCCTGCCCAGGCTTTTCACTTCACCCTTCAGTTCTGCTCATGACTCTGTCTCTTACTTTGTGGCAGTGTGTTGGGTTTTTTCTTCTTTTTGTGGCTCCAGGTTTGGTTTCAAAATAGGAGAGCCAAAGAGAAACGTCTGAAGAAGGATGCCGGGCGGCACCGCTGGGGACAGTTCTACAAGACGGTGAAGAGGAACCGCAGTGGCAGCAAACATGAGAAGGAGAGCTCAGCAGAGGACTGTGGGGTTAGCGACAGCGAGCTGAGCTTCCGAGGTGAGTGTGGAAGCAGGGACTGCATGCAGGAGTGGCACTGAGGATTGAGGGTGGGGAATATAGTGTCCAGAGCAAAGGGCAGATTCTTTGGATTCCCACATATAAACTCAGAAAGAGTGGATTCCTGTCACACTACAAGCTGGAATGAGTTTTGTAACCAATATTCCTTCTTCAGATGGAGAGGCTGGTGGTGTGGCGGCCTTTAAATAAGAGAAGGATAAAGGAATAATTACTGCTATGTCATGCAGTGCCAAAATAGTGCGGTGATCCATCTTCCAGGGTAGAGGTTGCTAATGCTTCAGGGCAGCTCATGACAACCTAAGAAGGCACCACCATGTGGCATATGATATCACAAAGTTGGACCTTTTCTCCATTTCATCTGCTGATTGGTTAGGCCCTGAAAGGGTTCATACCCTACAGTGTGAGGAGTGATATCCCATTACATTTCTTATCCTCTTTCATGTCACTGGCAATGGGATTCGCACCAACATGAATTTCTAGTCCCCTGTTGGAAGCTCACCATACTCTGGTGCTCAATAAGTTAGTAACCTATCTCTAGGGAAAACACGCAGCTATCAGCAACCAGATTCCTCCTCGAACAGGCCCCCTTTAGGATGGCTGAATCTGGCCATTGGAAGCCAAATGTTTGACCACGGCTTCCTTCAAGACTGATAGCTAAAGGAGGGGGCTCTACAGAAGCATTTTAAAGGCAATGCATGTATGCCACCCAGTGTCTTGGGTGATACATTAGAGATTGAAGCCGGAAGCTCCACAGCTGAAAGCATAAATCTCTGCAGTTTGAATTAAGCAGCCAGACTTCGTTACTGGGAGTTGACATAAACCAATGCCCTGTGCCTGTGGTCCACAGGCACCGTGCCACTATACTTTCCTGTGCGAGTTTTCTACCCACGTCTCAAAATGTAATTAACGGTTTATAACATCAATGAAACTATAACCTTGTCCTGCTTAGGCCCTTGTACTGTGACTGGGTGGATTACATACAATGAAAAAATCATTGGTAATGAATAGGCCTGGATAGGAATGTATTCATGGTTGTGCCAACAGTTTGGATCAGGAAGAACCAAGTATTTTAAATGGAAATGATTTTTACATATCCTTAAATAAATATTATAAATTCTTATAATGCTCACAGTGAGAAATATGGCAGCAAATACAAAACCCACAGGCAATAACTAGACTATTTACAGTCCAGCAAGGATCGACTGTGGTTCTAAATCCAGCCTCTCATACAGCCTGAATACAAGACTTGTTTTTTAGTCAATTTAGAAAGAATGCCCTTTATGTAAGTAAATGCACCAAGCTTGAACCCAGTGAGTACTCCCAAAAGTAGCTGCTATCTACCAGCAGTTTTGTTCTGACCAAAGGGTTAAAACATTTAAAATAATAATGGCTTGTAGGTAGGGATGTATAAAAGTGTACCTTTCAAATAGAAATAAGTTTTTTAAATTAAAAAAAGCCTGCTTTAGGCATAGTTCCATTTAAATTTTATTCTTCATTAGTTGTAGTATATAGCATGGTTACCCACCAATCAGAGTCAAATGAACAAAATCCTCAGCTGGAGGACATCCGCTCTATTGCCAGGGCACTATGCTGGTTGACATCAGCTGAGAATTTGCCTTAACGTATTTACAGCTGGCCTCCTGTAATAGCTGGTGTCCATTCATGTGCATTTTGGTGGCCAGGCTAATTCTTGGAGTTATCCCATTCATTTCAGTAGGGTCACCCAAGATGTTGTTTGCCCTGCATGATGCCTTATCCATGACTGTAGTGTTCCTACGCTTATAATTTGATCTTCCTTCTTTCATTCACAGAAGATCAGATCCTCTCAGAGCTTGGCCACACCAATAGAATTTACGGCAATGTTGGGGATGTTGCTAGTGGACAGTTAATGAATGGAAGCTTCTCCATGGATGGGACAGGACAATCTTATCAGGACTTGAGGGATGGAAGTCCCTATGGAATTCCTCAGTCTCCGTCCTCTATATCATCCCTTCCTTCCCATACTCCCTTGCTTAATGGTCTGGATTACACAATGGACAATAATTTAGGAATCATAGCACATGGAGGGCAGGGGGTGAGCCAGACGCTAAGGGCAATGGCTGGGGGACCAACCTCTGATATTTCTACAGGAAGCAGTGTAGGCTACCCAGACTTTCCAACAAGCCCTGCCTCTTGGCTGGATGACATGGATCATCCTCCTTTTTAAGCACCTCCCACTTCTCCAGCCCACCCCAACCAATGCATTCTTTTGGCCCAAAAGTGTGCTCAAAATATCAAGAGGCAACCATCGAACTTCAAGAATCCTAGACATACAGCACTGAGAAATTTCCATTATTTTCAATGGGAATCCTGGTTCCTGGAGGCTTGTGAGATGATAGTGTGGTATTTATTTCCTTTCTATTTGGAGAGTGGGAGGGGATGAGAAATCCTTCCTTGTACACAGCACACTGGTATATAGTATCTGGTTCTAGGTTTGCAGATTGGTAGTAAACACAAACTCATTGACACTCTCTCCACATTGTTGTTGAAGACTCTGCTGATGAGTGCTTTTGAAGTGCATGTTGACTGGCTCGGCAAGCATTGGCCATTGGGATCTCCACATCGGCTGGCATTTCCTTACTTGGAGTTAAGTATGTTATAAAGCCTCCAAACCCACTGTTTTTCACAAGAATTGCTTGAGTGCAGGCAGCCAAACTTATCTTCCCACTGGAATGAAAATGCAGCATTTCCAGAGCCGTGCCATGGTTAAGCAAGTGCAATACTCTCACCAAGCACAGGGCTCTGTCTCTAAAGGTCACAGACAATATGGACAGTCACAGGGTGGAAAAGCTATCAGGATTTCTCAAGGTGAAAAACATGATTTCCTACCACTGAATAGCCACATTGAATATTAATGTTTCCTGAATGTGGCTGGATGTGTCTCATGCCAAATTCCTACTCCTGAGTGTATCCCTGCTGCCATCTTTGGGTCAAACACTCAGCAGGTGCTAAGGATCTGACAAGACCTAGGAGCACTTTTAAGGCTGTGATGCACAGACTCTGTTCTGACCCTCTACACAAAGATGAATGCCTGTGCCGGAGAATTACATTGCATTAGGGTCTGTGTTAACCTCCCCTGGTAGACAAGGACTATTCAGTATAGAACCATGTCAATGGTTATGGTTAATCTGAATGTGGAGTTTCTCAGATTTAGCTGACATGGTTTTTACATCAACAGCTCTTCTCCACACTGGGACCTAACTCAGGCTTTACACTGTTGTTGTCTATATTATAGTAGTGGCCAGAGGCCTCATTGTGCCGGGTGCTTGAGACACGCAGAATCTCAGGCCTGTTGAGCTCACAGCCTAATGAGGCCAGACAAAGAGAGAAGAGAAGAAGGCAAAGTTAGTTACCCAAGGTGGCAAAGCCAGAATGAGACCCCAGGTCTCCTGACTTCCAGGCATGTACCACGAGAGCAGGCTCTCTTCCCAGGTTACCAAACATATGTTATACCATAGCACATTTTCCTAGTGTAGATAGCCCCTAACCATTGCAGCTTGCATGCCATTGAGAAAGAGCAGCAGGATTTGGCCTGTAGGCCATAATTCAAGACATGGCAGTAATTTATGCTTCCCAGCTGGCTGGCTGAAGCACAATATGGGGGATTTTTTTGGGTTTTTTTTACCCTCTTTGGTAAAAGTCCATTTGTTCACACCCTTTTAAAAAGTCCCTCAGCTCCTGCTGATCAGGCTGCAAGTCACAGATAGGAAGAACATAAACTAGGGAGAAAATGTAATGGAAAGACAATCAATAAGGCAAAACGGTGGGAATAAAGCTGCTCAAACAGGTTTTCAGATTAACCCAGCCAGCTAGCAGAAGAGTCCCTTGACTGAGTGTGCTCTACAAAAGGAATGACAAAGCAATCTTTTATTTCCAAGAGTTATTTTAGGACACTGGGTTGAAAATGTTACTCAGAGCTGCCAAGATCCTCACATAAAAGAAAAGCTTATATATTGGAAAGTGGTTTATGTTAGTGCAAGAGAGACCAGACTCCAATTCACACACAACTTTTTCTCCCCAGTTCTCTTGGTGGCAGAAAGTGCTGCTTGAAGTATCCTAAGAAACAGCTGGGTTCAAGTCATTTGGAGACTTTCTTTCCCCCTCCAAACAGTGAATGCCACAGTGGTGGTGGGGACGCGCCACAGGGTGCATGGGCTCCAGGCTGTTGTGGGGTGGGGGTGGGTGCTGACCATCTTGGGGAAGTACATGGCGGGCTCCCATGCATTCGCCACCATACCCACAAACCCTCCCCTGCAAACCCCGCAACCACATCCTCCTATATACACAATCACAAACCCAGCAAACACTGCACTCATCCACACCCCCATACCCTTCCCCCCACGTATACTCCCACACACATCTGCTTTCCTCTGGGGGGAGCCCCACTCATTGCTCCTCGCACACACCCGACCCCACACATGCACTCACCACCCGCATGCACACCCAACCCTCCCAGACACACCCTCAAACACACTGTGGCGGGTGCAGAGATCCCACCTCAGGAACACAGCTGGGTATTCGTATCCCTCCACTGTTTCCACCACGTGAGGCGGGCCAGTAGGGGGTGCTCCTGCGTCGAGCCGCCCACCTCCCTGCGCCCCACCACCTTCCAGGCTCCGAATGCCTCCATAGGGGTGCCTTATGTCCAGCCGACCCCTCTCCCGGAGCATGTGGCGGGTGCAGAGATCCCACCTCAGGCACACAGCTGGTTATTCGTATCCCTCCGCTGTTTCCACCACGTGAGGCGGGCCAGTACGGGGTGCTCCTGCGTCGAGCCGCCCACCTCCCTGCACCCGACCACCTTCCAGGCTCCGAATGCCTTCCTAGGGGCGCCTTATGTCCGGCCGACCCCTCTCCCGGAGCACACTCGCTAGTCTGGGGGTAACGTGCCGCCACCACCCCAAGAATGGACTGTCTCGCGGCCCTGTGTCCTTGGGGTAACACAGGCCTAAAGTCCCAC